CAGCGGAGACTGATGGGCCGTGTCTTCTACAGCGGTGACATCAGGGAGCGCCCGGCCCCTGGGTCTGAACAAAGAGGCTTCTTGTCACTTTGATTGCTCTCTGGGTGTAGAATCTGCGATCTAGTGGGGGACGGGACAATCTCTTGATCAGCACGCGCGCTCCTGCTCCCCCCGTGCCGATGAGGTACAAAACCCGGTCCCGGAGGGCAGGTCCTTGAGGTTTGGTGCTGTCGACAGTCGGCATTTCCTTGTTTGCGAGGGAAGAGAAATAGATGGGGAGAGGGTGCTCCCGCAGCAGAAGCATTCCCAGAGCTCGTTTTTATACGTCAGAAGGGTGGCACTGAGAAATAAACGTGTTCACGCATCCCAGCAGCCGTTTCGTTAAGACTGGTTCCTGACTGTTAGTTTTCTACAGCTTTGCCCAGTTTAGTTTTAAATGTCTTTGAGGACGTAGTTTCACTGGTTTCTCAGAGCTTAGTGAACGCTCAGGCTAAGTGTCCCTTTTATTAAAGTAAATTATTTACTAGTAGCCGTGTCTTCATAATACACACAGCAGCCTTTCCTCTTCTTCGGAGCGTAGCTGCTGCACACAGCGCGGAGGGAGTACGTCCTCTCACCCCACCGCCGGGCCTGGCCTGCGTAGCCTTGCTTTGGGCGCGGTGAGCTCGGTGTGTGGGACCCTCTCCCCATAACTGACCTCTCTGTGCATGCTCGGCCCTGCTCCCGAGCCCGCCCAGCTGAGGAGGGCTCCCGCTGCTCTTTCCTCTGCGGCACAAAGCGCGCTGGGGAGCAGCGCCTGGGGGGCGCCCGGCCGCGGGGCTTCTCCGGGTCCTTTGTTGGAGCTGTCAGGCAGGGGGTCGTCCTTCGAATCGGTGTTTGCGTGGGCTCGGGTTCAGGCTGTTTGTGGGCGTTCCCGCGCGGTGGGTGGGAAGCCGTGCCTGTCGCCTCTCGGGACTGGGGAGACTGGCCCCTGTCTGTGGGTTTCCCAGCAATGGCCTGGCAAAGCTGGGCTTAGTGGTACCAGCTCTTGTGTTCAGCTGCGTGTTCTCCCTGTCTTGCGCCGGGCTTTTGGGGTTTCTTTATGCTGTTCCTCTCCATTTTCAGTTTTGGATGTCAATCAGCATCCCTGTTCGTGTCAGCGTTTCGGATTTAACCAATTTCCAGCTTTCTCTTTACTGAAACTTCTTCCTGAGCGTTTGCGATCTTCTCTGTCTCAGGTGGCCTGGGGGATACGCAATTTAGCTTCCGTCTTCGTCAGTCGGGGGGACAGAGGACTGCTCATTACGAGGATGGTGGCGAGTACAATAGAGAAGCACCCCTGACGCTGCAGGTCGGTCGCATTTCAGTGCACTCCTTACACCTGCTGAGCAGACAGTCGTGTTGTTGCGTTAAAAGCCAAACAGACGCTTCATTTGTTTTCTGTGCATAAAATACTCATTTTCTCTGGCCATGGGAGTAGTCGGAAGAGGAGAAGGCTTTCAGCACAGGGGCTTACTTCCAGGTTAATGCTCAGAGAGGGCCGTGTTGAGAATCCCAGCTGCTCTGAGAGACGGAACTGAGTCGGGGGACCCCCAGTTAGAGCAGCGGTCGTGCCTAGCCCCGGCGGAAGATCAACGGTGGCACACAGGTGACATCCAACAAGAGGGCACAGCTACCTGTGCACGTTTCTGTGAGGCAAGACAAGGACATCCTTGTCTGTGGTAAATGAGATGTTCACCTCCTTTGCTGAGGGATGCCGGCTCTGTTCCTTTGTGGCAGGATCTACGTCTATAAAAACAGCCGCGATAACCGGCGTGCGGCAGGTCCCCTCTTTGGCTGGCTGTGTGCGGGCTGGTCTAACCATACCCAAGCCCTGACATCAGGGGTGTCCATCAGTTGTGGTTTTCCCCTCAGTGAACTGTCCGTTTCATGAAGGGAAGGGATGTGCTGAGCACTGTCGCTTCTTTTAATTGAGCAGATGGCCGTCAGATCGGCTTATCCTCTTCTGCTTTCTCCTTTGGGATGATGCTTCCTGTGCCTGTGCCTTTTTAACACTTCTGCAGTCCTTTTGTGGGATGCAATCCAGAAATGGGTTGTTAGTCTGAGAGGGAGTAGGAGGATTTCTTTTCCTAAATTCCGGTCTAGAGATTTTTCAGCTTGCCTGCATCTTTACTGCTTTGCAGCGGTCGGATGCTGCCGCACAGATTCACCTAGCTGTGAAGAAGTCAGGGGGATAAAACTGCCAAAGTACTGGATTCTGTTGTGGAAAAATAGTATTTGGGAAGAGAAAGGCGCCCTAAACCGTGGGGCCTGTGGGGCTTCAAAACGATGTTAGGGATGGTCTGTGTGCTCGGCAGTGAAACTGCCCTTCCTCCTTGTGGGGACTCGAGTGCCATGGCGTGTTTGAAATGATCGCTGGGGGTTTGCACTGAATCTGTTAGTTCTCGTGGATGCTATGAAGGAAGCATCGTTCCGCTTTGTGCTTCCTCCTGAGCAAAATTTGCCCGGTGCTGCCTCAAACGCCCGGCGGAGGCGGGGTGGAACGGGTACGGCAGAGCCCGTTTCCTCCGCTCAGAAGATGACGCGTTCCTTCCCCAGCAACACGCTGTGCTCCGGCTGGCCCAGGGGACTGGCAGTCGGAG